CCCTTCCACCAGTCACGGCCCTTGGTGCCTCTCCATACCCTGTCTACCCCACTCACTTGAGGGCCAGGCTGTGTGGGCCCAGCAGGAAATTCAGGCTGACGCCCCCCCCCCCCCCACCGCCCCCGGTAACAGCACCCGTGTCCTGCTTTGGTTTATGTTATACACACATCCGAAAGGAAACCAACAGGAGAAAATGACTGCCTGGAACCTGCTCAAAAGAAAGCACCTGATTTTTGGGTGGAGCTAAATTTCTACTTGTACTGGGAAGTCAGCCACAGAGCTGATTTTCAACACAACTCCCAGCAAATGCACAACCGTCAGCCAGGTGCTGAGGCTGCTGGACTCGTGAGAGTGTCATCTTCCAGGAAGGATTTCCAAATGTCAGGGTTAAGTGTGGGAGAAATTCTTGTCCCCTCCACACCCGGATCTGCCAGGACAGAGAAGCCTGTGCCCAGTGGGTGGTGTGCTTTTCTGGGCAGGAGCACTATGGTCTATTTCAGAGTTCCATCCACTTCCTACCCCTCACCACACATGGACACTGGCTTCTAGCAGTGTCCGCCATGCCAGGTATCTGGGAACTCACTCCCTTCTAGGAACCTCCTGCTTCCTGCTGGGTTCTGTAAGTACGCCCTTTGAATGGGAAATTCAAATACTGAGAAAAGCTCATCTCCCAGGGACTACTTAAGTGAGATGTGGGTTAGGCAAGGCCCAGCACATGCCAAGCATGGCTGTTCTGAGACTTTAGGTCCTCCAGGCTCATGGGCTGGAGCCATGGCCATGGCCTGCAGTCAGCAGAACCACACCATGCCAGCATCTCCTTGAAGGGGCTGCCCTGGGCCCACAGCACCAGACAGACACAGCCACGTGAGGAGAGGGGTGAAGGATGCTTCCAGTGAGTGGTGACCTGTCTGTGGTCTAAAGTCAGCTTCTACCCGGACATGGCAATACTACAGCCCAGAAATCCGATGCATCAATTTCAAAATGCTGCCCTGAACACCAAAAATAACCCGCCTCCAAGTTCCACAGGGTTCTGGAGGGAGAGACAGAGCAGCAAGTAAGGGAGGAGCCGCAAGGGGAGGTCTTGGTGATCTGAAGACTTTCCTCCAGAACGAGTGAGACAGGCCATGAACGTGAGACCTGGAGGCAAGGGCAGCACATCCCCACCCCGTGGGCTCCAGTCCCAGCTCAGTCACCACCCAAACCGCAGACTCTGTCTCTCCCTGGTAGCCTGTCACCTGCCGTTGAGGCCTGGTCAAAAGGAAGCTTCAGCTCCTTTCTTGGGAAACCTAACACTTTTCCAGGTCCAATAACAACGCCTCACAAAACGAGCATGAGACTGAAAGGTGGACATCAGTGAACCATCCCCTTCCAGGGCGCGCGGTGCCAGACCCTCCCCTGGTGCTTCCGTATGCAGGCATCCAGCATGCCCGTTGCAGTCCCCCGTCAACTCTCAGGCCTGGGCCAGCTCCCCTGAATGCCAAGGCTTCAAGGAAACAGTATCCCCTATTTAAGGACCATCTCCCTGGGGCTGCTGTGCCAATTAAGTAAGACTTAAAGGGGTCTGTCCTCTTCAAAGCGAAGTTTCCTGAATTTCAAGGGATCGAATGAGGCTAAGCATGTGACGCACCTTACAGAGAAATGGCGCCAAGAGATTGGGAAAGGCTGCACGCACGTGATGAAACACTTACTAGCAAGGATTTCCTCTCTGCCCTTAAATCACAAAAGAAAACCCACCATCCTTGCACTTCTTCTCGAGGCAGGGTGCTGGCCAGTGAGAAGACCTGGTGGCGCATTATACGGTGAAATACAATCCGCACCACGCTAAACATGGATGTCCCCAAACCTGGAAGGAACCTCCCAGCTGGCCCCTTTAGTGGCTGTCAACCGTGGCTGACGTCAGAACCACCTGGGACATGGGGAAACCTGCACTTATGAGCTGGTGTCTCGGGCTTGGCGGCTCAGCATACTACCTGGGTGAGAGAGCCTCAGGTGATCGACTGTGTCCCCAGGGCAGAAAGCCACTAGGCCATCCAGCATGGAAATGTGAGGACATCCAGGCTCCCAGAGCTCAGCCCACAGTCAGAGCAACACTGTGTGCTCAGGGCGGGTGTTTTTCTGGCACGCTCTCTGCCTTTCCCACTTGTGGTCAGTTCAAGGCCCCACTGGCCACACACGGGCAATGGCGCTGAGCGGCATCCCCACTCCTTTTTTCAGAAAGCTGCTTGTTTGGGAAGGAGGAGAGATGTGCAGTGATGCTGAGGAGCAAGTTCCGGTGGAGGCCTGGGCGTGAGAGCTCCAGTCACACCATGCCGAGGACCAGACAGTGCCCATGCTTCCTAGGAGTGGTCTTCTCACTTTCTGGCTGGAACGATAACCACAAAGGTTGCAAGGACAGAACCTCCACCTGCGATCCCCTCGGGTGCCTCTGGTCTCCAGAACACATCAAGGTCCTTCCCCTCCGAGCTTCCCAATCTTAGAGAGCGGGGCCTCTCACACTCACATGCATGTGTTTAGGTATATATGCTGCCACGTCATGCTTTAAAAATAAAGAGTGTTTTGAATGAAAGCCTCTGGAACACATCTTCATGTATTTTTAAGATAGGGTCTTGCTCTCTTGCCCAGGCTAGAGTGGAGAGTGTGATCACAGCTCATGCAGCCTCAAGCTCCTAGGCTCAAGTGATTCTCCTGCCTCAGCCTCCCAAGTAGCTGGCACTACAGGCACGCACCACCATGCCCAGCCGATTCTGTTTATCTGTAAAGATGGGGTCTTGCTTTATGGCCTGGGTTGGTCTCAAACTTCTGGGTTCAAGCAATTCTTCCACCTTGGCCTCCCAAAGTACTGGAATTATAGGTGTGAGCCACCGCACCCAGCCCAAAATACTATTTACAGTGGTTCTCCTACATGGCAGGCTTTGTTTGGTATGTGGAAATAATAACTGTGATGAATAAATAACAAACCATGTTCAAATAAAATTAGGATTACAGGCGGGTGCAGTGGCTCACACCTCTAGTCCCAGCACTTCGGGAGGCTGAGGTGGGTAGATCACGAGGTCAAGAGATCAAGACCATCCTGGCCAACATGGTGAAACCCTGCCTCTACTAAAAATACAAAAAATTAGCTGGGTGTGGTGGCAGGCACCTGTAGTCCCAGCTACTCGGGAGGCTGAGGTTGCAATGAACCGAGATTGTGCCACTGCACTCAGCCTGGTGACAGAGTGAGACTCCGTCCCCCACCCCCCCCACAAAAAAAAAAAAAAAAAGGTTAGAGTGATTCGCTCTGAACTTTTGGGACTGGAAAATCAGTTTAGTGTTGGTTTTGAATCCTAGCAATATTTTATATTGAGCAAAGAAAGACTAAATTTATTTTAATAAACATCCAGAGGCTGAGGGTGGCCAAATTTTCAAGCCAGACCCTCCCATTGCTAATACACTGTGCAAAGCTTGCGCCACGAGCAACTGACGTGGACCACTACCATTGCAATGGGAGCCTCCGCCTAACAATACCAGATTAGTAGATCTCTGTTCCCAGAACCTCCAAGTTAGTTCTAACTAATCATCTTCTAAGAGCTTTTTTTTTTTTTTTTTTTTTTAATATTGGAGTTAAAATAATCTGACTGATTTTTATCAAAGTAGGAAAATTACAATAAGAATTCTAGAGATCTCTATAAATTACAGACCTATGACTCAAAATCTTTGAAACAGTATCTCAACAAACAGAAGAGCTTAAAATAGATTTCAGTAAAAACCCTACATGCATTCTTATGTGTAAACAGTATAGCTATGAGGAACATATCTTATTTTGAGGAAGTTTATTGTTACATTTTTGCAATAATTGACCAGGCACAACTACCTCCTGCTTTTCCAACATCTTAATAAAAAAGACAATAAAGATTAACAGTGAAATTAAAATTAAAAAATACAAAAGCCTAATGTTCTGGAGACAAAAATGACTACAGTCTATCTGTAGAAAAGTTGTAAATGATGATAGTTTAGCCTTGCAAAGAGTTACCTTCTCCAATGACAATGCATTACAGAATTTGGAAGGGGGTGTCTTTAAAAGCTTCCTAATTCACCCTGGTCATGAGGAAGAGGAGGAAGTCCAGCTCAGCAAGGCCAGGGTGGTAGGGTCAGTGGCTGAGCGAGTCAAGAATCTGGGCCGGGCGTCATTCCACCGTGCTTTCTATCGAGTTAAACAGACCTCACAACATCTCCTTACTCTCATGCTTCCGGTTTGAAAGCGATTAGTAAATATGTCATACTGTTTAAAGGAAAACAAGCACTCACTGACCAGGCTGGACTACTCAGGAAGATGTTTCAAACAACTCCCCTGCCACGCCAATCATGGTGGTGCTGCCTCCAACAGCGCCACCAAGAGGCACTCCAAGTTGGTGGAGGACCCGCTTGCACTTCCTCTGGGCTCTGGGTCCTGACAAACATGGGGGATAGTGAAAGCTGACCCGGGCAGCACACAAAGCTCACCACGCTGTGGACCGAGCTGCACTTCACTACTGCAAACTGAAAATGTGACCCGAGACCATCCTGAGGGACCCACCAAGAGTTTTCTTTCTCCTTTAAAATGTGGTCATTGGCACTAATCCCTGGTCACATCCTTTAGATCTGTGAAGAGCCAAAGGATGCAGTACAAGAACAGCAACTTCATTATCCAGCCAAAGTAAGAGCTGTAAGCCAGCAAACACTGACGCACACCCTTGGGCACCACAAGAAAGAGAGAGTCCACGCTGTCTCCTAATGAAAACACTGTGCTGACAGGGTGACCCAGAGGCAGGTCCCCCTCCCTCCTCTTTCTGCTTCTGCATCTGCCCCAGGGCTTCTGTTGAAAGGGGCAGCATGGCCTCGGGACAGGGCCCTGGGATGTGTGACTGAGCCACAGCAACATTCAGGTGCCAATTAAGAGGAAGCTTTTCATTTGCTTTTAATGCTAGGACACATCCCCAAGCATACTAGGCAGGATTTCTCAGTAGAGTGATACACAGAGGGGACCAGCTTGGAATGCAATGTATTTTAAACACAGTGAAAGACACTTGGCAGGTAGCTGGACGAGTGAGCTAGGCCCAGGATTGGCCAGCTCGCGTCAACATTCACAGGCTTCGGGTGGACTCCCCCAGGACAGCGGCATCCGAGAGTGTTTACTTGTTCTGCAAGCAGTCACAGAAGTGGGGGGCCTTGATGAGAATCAGCCTTAGGAGAGCTGAGAACAGGCGTGGTCGTTCCTAATGAAACCAAAGGCACTGGTGGAGTGGCAGTGTGGAGAAACCCAGATTCCTCCAGCATTTGTGGGCTTCCTGAAAGGTCAGCTGTTAACTCGCCAAGCAGCTAGGGCCTTAACAAAAGCTCTGCTGGTCGCCTTGCCAGCTTTCTGAAGCCCCAGAAGAGGAATGTTTCTGAAAGAAGGAAGTGCTATGTGCTGCCAACTGCATGTGAGCAGATGACTTGCAGGATGGGAAAGCCATCTGCAAGGCAACCTGGTTTCTGTCTTTGCCATCAGGTTGGGCGGGGTGGCTAGGGGTGAAGAGCACCACTGTGTGCGCATGGATGAAGCAGCAGTCACCGCAGGCATCCTGTCTCACTCCATCTTGTGCTGTTGGGCATCTGGCAGGGCAAGAAGGACTGAGTCCCCTGCAGGGGCGTTGAGGTGAATCCACACCTGCAGAGCCCCCCATCCTGTCCTCAGAGCTGGGAGGGGATCCTAGGCATGGCTCCTCAGCTTTATCTAAAAGGCTGGATGAGGGGCTCTTAGGAAAACTGGCACAGGAGTTTGCAAAGGCAACGTACTCCCTTTGGGAGGTGGCCTTCAGACACTGCGGCTGGGGCTGCAGGGCCGGGCTCAGGCACTGAGTTTAGCAGCATTGGCGTGCACTCAATCTCTACAAGCTACTGTTAGGCAAAGCTCTCAGGTTAGTCTGTCTCAGGGAAGACTTGCAAGTTAGAAAAGCCATCTGCAAGGCCAGCTGGTTTTTGTGATTTTGTCATTAAAGACAGAGCGTGCGCGCGTGCGTACACACACACACACACATACGCACACGCAGAATCCTCAAATTGTGTCAGAAAAAGAGTAACATTTCTGTAAAGAAAAGCAAGCAGTGTTATTAGATGTTCCGTATTAATAACACAATGATCCCTTGGATTTTCAGTAGTTTTACTCGTCCCCAGGATTCAGTAGCTAACATGACAGTGTCCATGTCCTTTTGCCTGGAGTTCGCTGGCTGGGCTGGGCTGACAGCATTCTGGAGCCAGGTATTTGAGGGCATGGATCCGAGAAACCCACTCAAGGACCACAGAGACGACGCACAACACAGAGCCTGAGCCACAGCCTCAGAGGCTGCTGATGGACGCTGGAAACTGGGGCTCTCCTGCTCACTGCAGCATGATATCCTTCAGGTTCTCCTGCAGGATGGTGTCTTTCACAGCATGGAACACGAAGCGGACGTTCTCGGTGTCGATGGCGGTGGTGAAGTGGTGGAACAGCGGCTTGCTGCGGTTCCGTCTCTTCCTGTCGAAGCACTGGACCAGGTAGCGCTGGACGTCCTCCAGCCGGTGCGGGTCGCCCCTGAAGTCCGGGAAGTGCTTCTTGATGCTCACGGTCTTCACCTTCTCCACCAGGAGGTCCATCTTGTTGAGGAAGAGAATGATGGAGACGTTGAAGAAGAGCTTGTTGTTGACGATGGTCTCGAAGATGTTCATGGACTCCACCAGCCGGTTGGTGCGCCTGTCCTCCATGAGGACCTGGTCATACTCGCTGGAGGAGACCATGAACAGGATGGACGTGATCCCATCGAAGCACTGGAACCACTTCTGGCGCTGAGACCGCTGGCCGCCCACATCCACCATCTTAAAGGGGATTTTCTTAATAACGAAGTCATGCTCCACAATCCCCTTGGTGGCTTTCCTAGCCAGCAAAATGTCTTGCTTACTAGGAAAGTAATTCTGTAAAACACAGGATGAGGCAGTCATTTAGGAGAGCAAGAAGGAACACATGAAAATAAAAAGATGGCAAAAAGGGTGGAAGGAAAGAGACCGACTTTTGCAAGAGGTTGAACCAAATACCAAAAGCAAATTTCATTTATAAAATTATCAACTGGCCATGAAACAGAAAGTGGAAGAATCAAATACTTTATTTCAAAATGAAAAGAGGCTCACCAGTCTGTAGACGAATGATCAGAACACTCATGGACAGGCCCCAGTTGAAAATCACATCCATTTTCTTCTCCAGAGGGAATTTACCATTTTTTTTTGTTTCCATACCAGAGATACCTTTTTATTTTTCTAACTTCCAGAGCTTACAGCTTCCAAAACTAATTTAGGTGAACTAAATTACTATGAACTAATTTCGGTTTTATAATGTGATTTAAATTCAGTCTGCAATGTATTTGTTATTCTTAGAAAATTCTTCAAGTCTTGGGCCTGGCATGGTGGCTCATGCCCGTAATCTTAGCATTTTGGGAGGCCAAGGCGGGCAGATCACCTGAGGTCAGGAGTTCAAGACCAGCCTGACCAACATGGTGAAACCCCGTCTCTACTAAAAATACAAATATTAGAGATAGATAGCACCACTGTACCCCAGCCTGGGCGACAGAGCAAGACTTCGTCTCAAAAAAAAAGAAGAAAAAAAAAAATCTTTAACTCTTTAGCAACACACAGGCAACTGTAGTCACTCTTTACCCACTTTGACTTTGCACTATTAATAATCCTCCAGGCCAGGCATGGTGGCTCACACCTATAATCCCAGTGCTTTGGGAAGTGGGAGGAATAGCTTGAGCCCAGGAGTTCAAGACCAGCCTGGGAAACATAGTAAAACCCCACAAAAAGTAAAAACATTAGCTGGGCATGGTGCTGCATGCTGTAGTTCCACCTACTTGGGAGGCTGAGGCAGGAGGATGGCTTGAGCCTAGGAGGTTGAGGCTACAATGAGCTACGATTGCACAACTGTACTCCAGCCTGGGTGACAGAGTGAGACCCTGTCTCAAAAATAAAAACAAAAACAAAAAAAACCCCACCTCTCGTGATGAGTGCATGCACCACTCAGGCAGCTGTCTTGCAAAAAGAGCAACAGGGACAGGATCAAGCCTTGATCTAGAGGTCTGCCCACCGCCCACAGGTTATGCAGGGGACAGAGAAACATCTTCAATAACACTACAGGGGTGGAAGGGCAAAGTCCAGATGGTAAGAAACCCTACGGGATAAATAATCCAGTTACTCCAATACATACATTGAAAGAAAAAGGATAGAGACAGACAGATGAAAAGTAAAGTGATATTGACCGACTGCAATGCATGGGCCTTATTAGGTTGTTGATTCAAATTGTTAAAATAAAGCAAAATCAACAAGAAAACATTAATGAGACAACAGGGAAAATCTTCAAACTGACTAGGCTGACAAGGAATTACTGATTTTTCAGGAGCTATACAGTATTGTGGTTAAGATTTTGAGAGTCATCTTTTAGAGGTACACTCTAAAATATTATTAGTGAAATGACATGGCCACGCATTTGCTCCTGGAGGTGGGGGGAGGGCTGCTGAAACAAGACTGGCAATCAGTGATAATGTGGCACGTGGGGTTTCATTAGACTATTCGTTTTTGTTAATGTTTGAATTTTCTGTAAGATAAACGAAGTCCTCCTTTTTTCACTCAAGAATTCCTGTCTGTCTCCTTTACGGTGAAAGGCATTCTCACAGGGCAATTTCCTCCCCCTCCCTGCTGAGATGAAACCCTGATCTAAGAGAGAGCATAATGTTACAATGCTACTCATGGTAATGTAATAGAACAAGCTTGGCCTGTAAGTCCAGCCGAGCCCTCACGACGTGGATTGCTTTGGTCTCTGGACAAATGTTTTCTAATCTTGGAGCCCAGCTTCTTCGGGTGGGGGTGCTTACTCACCAGCTGGCCGATCCGGTCCAAGTTGTCCAGGAAGTACTTCACCGACTCCCCCTGTCAGGAAGGAAGAATATTCACAGCTCAGTCTTGATAGAGGAATCCTGATGTGGCAAATACAAGAACCTAACAGGGTAAGAGCAGTGGGATTTTGCCTCTGTTGTGAACAGGAAAGTGAAGCAAAAGGGCAAAGAGTGTCCGTGTGTTTTCTAAAATAAAAAACTTCTACAATTTAAGAAAATTTTTAATGCAGTTTCTTTAGCTCCAACACCCATATTTAAATTCTGGCGGTTTTTCAGTTTTCCCTGCTGGGTTTTGGTACGTGGTGGGATGCTGGGCCCCCTGACAGGTGACTCTCTTTCCAGACACGAAGGCTGGCCCACTCCTGGCCATGCTGCTGTGAAGGTGAGACTAGAATAAGATTTTAGATTTTGGCTCTTGGGTCCAGTCTTGCTTCTGTCAAAGACAGCCCAAGGGACTCAAGACATTGTCTTTAAAGGAATAATGGACTCTTTCTGGAAACTGGAAGATGTTTTGCGCATATGGCAAAACATCTTCCAGTTTCCATAAAGAGTCCATTATTCCTTCCCACATTTTTATGACCTGATTTACAGTAGCAAACACAGGGGAATCTTCCATTTGGATTGTTGTGGTGGAATGACAGCCAGTCTTCTCCTGGACCAAACATCGATACAATTTGAGACGTGTTCCGTGGAGAGAAGGGCCCTGCAGAATCACCCAGGGCCCCGTTTCAGGAAGCGCTGTGCCACCAGACACGTGGCACACATGCGGCACAAGAGGAGCCGGGAGGGCGTGCAACCCCCAACCACAAAGCAGCCCACACATGAACAGGTATGCACAAGATTGCCTTAAAATGCAGAATGTTAAAAACCAATTATACCGCTTTCTAAAAGATTCTACTTTGAACCCTGCTCTACAGACAAGACACCAGCAGGTGGAGTATAGGCTTCCAGGCTGCCTTGACATCAGGGCTGTGGGAAGAGCAGGCACTTTCTGCGCTCTCATGGAAGTGTACAGGGGCATGGTCATATACACGTGGCGAGCTGATGCGGGAGAATTTTAAGGAAGGCAGGCCACCGGAATGGACTAGGTGATGGCGCCAAAGCTCGTGACATCCTAAGGGATGGAGAAAGGTGGCCAGCGTCTGCTCCGTCTATCTCTTCCTCCTCTGTCCCAGATAGACTGTGAGGAGAAAGCAGAGAGGAAGCTCCTTTAGTGAGGAGCCCGCCTTCCCACTTTAGAATGAAGGCCTCGATGTTTCCAAAGTGAGTGGTTTGAGGGGAGAGAAACACACGGCTCCCCATCTCAGTGCTGCCTGTGTGAGCCAGCACACCTCCTACTCTTCCTCTGTGGCAGGATGGGGTGAGCACCGGCACCTCGTGACCACCTGCTCTCCAGAGCCCCAGGCAGAGGCCCAGCTCTGAAGCAGAGAAGGTACCCCGAGCACCTGGCACGACTCACCTCTTGCGCTCGCTCTCGCCCTTCCTCACCAAGCCCCTGTGATGTGGGAAGCCAACGTGAGGCCTGTGTGGCACCCGTCTTCCTGCAGCTGTGGCAAGTCCCCTGCTCCTCTGCACATCTGCCTCCTCCCATACCCAGACAGGAAGCAGCTGGGAGAAGCTGCTGGAAGCACTCACTCACCTGATTTATGACAAGTTCCTTCCCCAGCACCTTTCTCTCCTGCCTCCTCCTGCTCTCTTGCCCTCACCCGGGCCTCGGGAGGTGCCATGCAAGCATAAGAAGCATCAAGATGCCATCCCCACCTTTCCTGTGGCCACAGGCTCCCCCAAGGAGCTGCGAGTGACAGCAGCTCACAGCCCTGGCCACCCTTGCCCGTTCCTAGGCAGGTGGTGGCACCAGGCATGAGGGAAGCAGAGGCGTTCTCCTGCGGGGTTCTAGCTGGGTGGGGCATGGAGAGTCACAGTGGCACACATGCCCCAGCCAGTGCTCTTACCACCACAGGACACAAAGCCATGGATGCACAGGCTCCACCCAGTGTGGACGAAAGGGGAAAAGCGCCACAGAGGACACAATCAGGACTGCCAGATGGGAGGCAGGAAACAGGAAGGACGTTTCCCCCAGTGTGAATCTAAACATCCCTACTGAGTCTGAAATCAATCACCCAACTGCACTTTACAACACAGCCATCACTAACATTAAGATATATTTACTGTTGCTTTCTCTCCAATGACTGAATGAGGATGGCTCACTTACCATAGCAGTTTGTTTTTTACTACTTGGAATGGACATAACTTATCTGTGACTCTTGGTCATCTTGCATGGTTGGTGGAAGAGTGGAGTCGGATCTAGTTTCATGCCAGGGCGGCCTCATCTCGAGAAACAGCCCAGGGGGTCCATGGTAAAGTGACCACTGAGCTGCAAGGTCCAGGGCCCGTGCCACAAGCTCTCTAACAGGGGCCAGAGTGGAGGGAAGAAGGGGAAACAGAACAACCCCGTGAGATCCAGAATGCGGTCACCCACGTCTGCACTCTTTGCTGTCCCTGAGGTTTGGTTCACTGCGGTTTACCACCAGACACTCGATGATGTGCCCACTGATCTGGCATGCAGCCCATGGGAAGATCGTGTGGACAGACTCCCTCCATTCTCACAGCACCAGCTCATTAAAAGGGCCAGGTTTAAAATCCAATGCATTTTCAACCCTGGAGAATTCAGTCATTTCTTCAGAGAAAAAGCATGTGGTAGAAACTGAGATGTCCACATGAAATTAACTGCTTGGGGGGTTTATAAAGAGGCACTGTGCATGCCAAGATGAACCCAGAGTCTTCTCGAAGGCTGCTGCAGTCCTGAGATCTAGCAAACACGAGTGGATCGAAAGTAGGCTTTCAGGACTCTCCTGGGCATGAAAAACTTACATTGCTCAAGAGTAACACAAACTTGGACTTGTGAATTAGACGAAATGAATTCACTAGGCTGGGACCACAAGCCACTGAGCACACACCTGACAGTGGCCTGTCCTCTGCCTCGACTGTCCCAGGAATATGCCTGTCTGCTCACGAGCAGCAGAAGGGATGAACCTGAGCAGGGGCTGGTGGGCAGGGAAAGAGGCATTGTCTGTTTCAAGCAGTAGCAGCAGGTTGATTTGGGGGGCCTGGGCACAGCCGGGCAGATGTGACGTCGTGACTTTGGGCAAGACCTAAGCCAACACATATCCATGAAGAGACCACTTTTCAGCAGAGGCCTGAAGCCTTCAGCAGTCTTTGGAAGCACCTGTCACCCACACCTCCAGCGAGAGGATGACACACACTGGGCTCGCTGCCACTCAAGAGCTCCATCAGCACCATCAGGCAGGCCCTGCGGCAGCCTCGCCCGTCACCTCTGTCCCTGCACACAGCAAGCTGCCCTTCACAGACCTCTGCTGGCCGCACGGACTTCCTTCAGCTAATTTAGGACCACAATCAAAGAGCCTCAAATCTTTCAACCTGCACAAGACCAGCCCCTCGAGATCAGTACATGAGGGGCTGACTTTGGTTCCTTCTTGTCCTCTGCTTCTAATTGGAGCCTTTCTACACACAAGCTTAGTTTAGTTCCTGCCTCTCTGTCAATGTCATAGACTGACAGGGTATGCATGAAAGACAGCCCATGTGGATCCCATGGGGGTGTGAGAGGGAACAAAGGTAACTGTGGATTGGTCTAAGCTGTAAGGGTCAAGGTAAGGAGAGATCAAGGACCAGAGAGTGGTTACAAAGAAAACAAACACCAACTTCCAGCTCCTGGCCAGAGGGCCTTTTAGTTTAAACCCTATCTGCCCATTCAGGAGCTGTCTCAGTTTCCCTTTTGTTTTTTTTTTTGAGATGGAGTCTCACCCTGTCACCCAGGCTGGAGTACAGTGGCGTGATCTTGGCTCACTGTAACCTCCCCCTCCTGGTTTCAAGCAATTCTCCTGCCTCAGCCTCCTGATTAGCTGGGACTGCAAGTGTGTACCACCACACCGGGCTAAGTTTTGTATTTTTAGTAGAGGGTTTCACCAGGTTGACTAGGCTGGTCTTGAACTCCTGACCTCAGGTGACCTGCCTGCCTCGGCCTCCCAGAGTGTGCCCCCAGCCTTGTCTTAGCTTCTGCATTTAGTGAAGTTAACTCTAAAATCCTAAAACAGGGTCATTCACACTGACTGAAAACAGGGCTTGTCAATGATGAGCTAGAGGATTCCAAAATCTAGTTCACTCACTTCAACAAATTACAAAGACTAATTTTAAAATTGCTGTATATTAAAAACAACAGCAAACTACTCCAAAGGCTAGGTTTCCAATTTCATTACTTAAAGTTAGCATTTGATTTCCACTGAATAGAGATGCTAACCAAACAACAGAGAACCTTTCAAAATACTTTAAAAAATATTATATAGTTCCCCAAAAGAAATCCTCATTTTGAACTCACGCTTTGCTAAGTGAATGCCTATGACATCTCACTGCGGTAGTATGAGATGAAGTGATTATCACAGCTGTGAAAGTGTTCTGGAAAAGAGAGAAAGCACCGTATCAATATACATTATAAAAATGAAGTTTTTCAAGTTTTAACTTGGGTATCTATGAATTGTCTGTTGCTAATTTATAAACCTAAAATGTTAGGTAAAAGGGCCAGGTGTCGTGGCTGACGGTAATCCCAGCACTTTGGGAGGCGAAGGCGATCACTTGAGGTCACGAGTTTGAGACCAGCCTGGCCAACATGGTGAAACCCCGTATCTACTAAAAATACAAAAATTAGCCAGGTGTGGTGGCGTGTGCCTGTAATCCCAGCTACTCAGGAGGCTGAAGAATTGCTTGAAACTGGGAGGCAGAGGTTGCAGTGAGCTGAGATTGTACCATTGCACTCCAGCCTGGACAACAGAGTAAGGAAAAAAGGAAAGAAAGAAAGAAAGAAAGAAAAGAAGAAAGAAAAAAAAAAAGATTCACTGGCAGAAATACGAAGTGACGTAGGCACAAGGTTGTTCACTGCAGCAAATGTGCAGTAAGAGAAGCTAGTTGAATGAATTGTGATCTCCATGCAGTCGAGGGCTGTGATCCCAGCAAAGGAGTGAG